ATTTTTTTTTTTTTGCACTTTTATGAAGCAATAGTATTGACATAGGCCCCTGAGGTTTCAGCCGCGGATCAGAGAGGAGCAGGGGTACCCACATGAGGCCTGGCATCCGATACACGGGGGCCTGGCTGCTTTGGGTGGACGCTCACAGTTCGAGGAGCCAGCCGCCTCTCCGGATGGATATAAATACCCTAGGAAGAGAAACCCAAGACCAGGGCCGTCCTGCGCCTGCCGCCTCATCTTGTGCTCTTCCTGTGTGTGTTGCCCCATGACTGATACCAATTCCTTCCTGAGAGCAGGGTGAACCCAAGACGGCCACATTTTTGTCAGCGTTCCCAGTGGTGTCACCGGATATCACGTTCTCTGGCCAGGACGCTGAAAATGCTATTGCGTTTTCTTCAGCAGGTGGACAGGGAGGGAGGACCCGGATCTCCTTGTGGGTGGGGACCCCGACAGCTCGGGCGTGATTCTCCTCATTATCATTCAGTCTCCCAGTGTTTGCGGGGTGCTTGCTAGACCCATGGGCACCCTACTACGTGTGGGGGTGTTGGTGGGTCCCTGTCGCCCTGCAGGGTGCTGCCTGAGGGACAAGACTCACTCTTCTGCTGAGTGTTGGGAAGGAGAGGGGCAGAAGGCCCAAGGCGCAATGGGGGTATCTATGGGGGCGGGGGGACCCTGTCTTGGTTTGGGGGTCAGGGAAGGCTTTCTAGAGGGTCCTGCGTAATCTGGGAAGCAAGGATTGAGCAGGAGCTAAGCTGGGACAAGAGAAGAGCAAGCCCGTCTCAGCCTTGAGGAAGACTTTGAAGTTCAGAGCATGGAAGTTCGGAGAAAGTGAGGAAGCCCTGCAGGGTGGGAAGGGAGAGAACAGGACTAGGGCAGAGAGAGGTGAGCTTGCAGGGGTGAGAGGGATGGTTCCCCTGGAGCTTTGGGAATCAGCTAAAGATCTGAGGAGGCACTACCAGGTCATAGGACACAGCTGGAGGACTTTACACAAGGGAAACGAGGTAACAAGATTAATGTGAAAAAACACATCATGTAAGGGCACTGCAGTGCGGACTGGAGAGGATCAGAGAGGAGCAAAGCTGGCGTGAGAGATCATTTAGGCACCTTGCTAAAGGCTGGGAGAGACAGACAAGAGGGTCTGAGAAGGAAAGGGTGGGAAGGCAAGGGTGGGGAAGGGGGATGGATTCTATACACATCTAGGTGTAAAACTGAGAGGGCCGAATGTGGGGGTGAAGGAGAAAGAGGAGTCACTGAGGTCTTGAAGGTTTGAGTTTAGACAAGGGAGAGGGTGGGATTGGGCTTGGGGCACAGCGTATGTTCAGCGTGGATATCCTGAGTCTGAGGTCCTCATGGGCTGTCCCAGTGGGGGGTTTGATGGGGTTTATGGGGCAGCAGTCGGGCTGGAGTGGTGGTGTAGGTTGGGAGTCACTGGCACATAGAAGGTATTTCAAACAAAGAGCGATTGAGACTGCTTGAGCAGGACAGCAGACCAGCCTTGGCATGGAGAGAGTGGATACATTCATGGGAATAGGTGGTAGGATAAGGGCAGGCCATAGATAGCAGGCCTGGGTTCCGGTCATCCATCTTCCCGGGTGACCATTTTTTGCACTTTTATGTTTTTGGAAGCAATAGTGACATAGGTCCCTGAGATCTCAGCCACACAGCGAGTGCCTATAGTCATTCCCAGCCCACTTTGGGGAGCTGGAGGAAGCTTGCTGAGGTAGAAAAGTCTCAAGTCCTTTGGTGCTGCTTTGCTGAACTTCCCACCTGATCCCGTTGGAACAGGACCTCTCTTGGATGCTCTCCTCTGACTTCCGGCCCGTTGAAGTAGAGCCTTTGAGGGAAATGTGCTTTGAGGAAAAGCCAGGCGGGAGGAGGGAGGTTGGATCTGGTGGCCTGATTTGGTCCTAACCACGGTGAGAGCTGTTTTGGAAGGAACGATACCTGCTTAAGGTCTGAGCGTTTACGTTTATACCCGGCCTTGCCCTTTACACTCTCTGGATTCAGTCTTACTGGACATGCGCTGCTGCTGGTGGTAGCTGATTATTCTAAACTGTAGACAGACAAGATATTAAATTACATCTACTGTTATGGGAAGAAGAAAATTGCTGATGTTTTTAAGGCCTACTAGTCTCTTTTAGCAAAGAATGAGCAGGATTCTCAGGCCAGACATATCTTCTGCCAATCACACCATCTAGTGACAACTGCTTTATTTTCTGTGATTGTTAGTTTTCTTTCTCTTTATGACAAGCGATGCTGGCTTGCGCCTGCAGTTATAGCGCTGTCTAGTGTATTTTCCAGCTCTCTGTTTTATGGGGTGACTTGTCACCTGACCTGGCTACCCCGATTTGGTAGTAATGACATAAACTGTTCTTTTGAAATAGATGCATTCAAGTAATTTTACACAGCTGTGGGAAAATGTACGAAGGTGATAACAGAAGTGGCCAACTTTGGAAAATGATGCATCATATAGAATTTTAAAGGGACCATGGGGTGAAAACCATCTTGGTTTTCCTGCCACTGGGTTCCTGGATGTGAGAACTGGGCTGAGCTGGTCAGTCTGATCCTAAGTGAAACTAACTGGTCGTCTTTACCAGTTGGTTTTAGCCCAAGAGACATGGTGGGTGTGTTCTTCATCGGGTCATAGGAGGGAGTCAGGGGTCTTTGCTAAGCATCTCTGTTCAATCTGGCTCTACTGTCTTGCCCGACAGATGGGAAAGCCAAAGAAAGAGGTTGATTATCTCTGCACGGAGAGTTGAGTGCTGGAATGGTGGCTGGCATCTCTCCCGACTCAGTGAATTTTCTTCCTCCTAGATTCCCAGCTGGGGATCTTTGCCCCCTTCTGTCCGTCCCTTCACTGCCTCTATTCGTCTCAGGTGTTGCTGAACGAGTGTTAAAGTAATTGGTGGTCAATCAGATGGCACTTATTAAGTCAGGACAGTGTCCTGAGAGCTGTGCGTGTATTAGCTAGCAGTCTTCACACCAGTCTCCTGAGGTAGGCACTTTTGTTATCTCCTGTGACCCACACGGAAGCAGGGGCACCACGAGGTTAAGCCATTTGCCCAAGGAGATCCCGTTAGTAAGTGGCAGAGGCAAAATGTAGAACCCAGGCTGCCTGGCCAAGGGTCGGTGGGGTTAACCGGCACGTGACCTTGTCTCTTTGAGATGATGTCCTTCCAGCCCCCTGCCTATTGCACAGTGGACCCTGGGTCGGGGGCACTGTCCACCTTCCTGGGAAAGATTCAGGCCGCACATCACAAGACCAGAATCTGAGTTCTGCCTCTAGCCTGAAATTCACTGAAATCCCTTCAGTGAAGGCATTCATTTAAAATGCCTGGGCCTCATTTCAGTTGTGGGTAAAATGGGAAAATAATAATCACAATCAACCATAATAGTGTATCATGTGCAGCTGTGATGGGGGATTCAGCTCAGTACTGTGCCTGCCTCACAAGTGCAAGGTCCTGAGTTTGATCCCTGGTCCAAAAAAAAAAAAAAAATCAATAGGTATCATGTTTGTTTTTCTTTTCTCTGATAGGTTGTTGTAAAGAGCACAAGTAAGTCTACATATGAGGGCTTTGTGAATGGCAAAAGAGATACTTGTCAGCTTTTGCAAAACAGTGGTATAAGACAATGCTTGTTAAAGCTAATGAAATACAACACCCACTGACTAAAAGGCCCCAGTTAAAAGTGGTGGCAATGACATAAACCATAAGTGCCTAGTAACATTTATTGAATGGACACACAACCGATTGGGAATTGGACATGCTGATGGAAAGCATGCCAATTTGGTTAAAAAAATGATCATACTACTGTTATGAGGTCTACTTTGATGGGAAAACCAGGGCCTGCAGAGCCCAAGAGACTTGAACCAGACCACAGCCCTGCTCTGAGCCCTGTTCTTAGGAGCTTCTGACTCTGGGTGAAGCCGTGAGTTCTTGGAGTGACCCTTGTTTTCCTCCTTTGGCATTCTGGATGGTGAAGATCACATGATGTTCATGATTATTTGTATTTATTTATTTATTTTTGTGGCACTGGGGATTGAACTTGGGGCCTTATGCTTGCAAGGCAGGGGGTGGAACCACTGAGCTAAATCCCCGGCCTTGCGTGATGTATTTTATTTAATGCATCAAAGTGCTCAATGCCAGGCCCCTGGGAAGCCCTTAGACCCTCAGCTAGTGTTATTAGCAGTGGGGTTTAAATGAACCTGTGGCGACTACCAAGAAGATGCTGCTTTATACTCCTCCATCTCCGCTGGGCTGGGGTTGTAGCTCAGTGGTATAGCAGTTTGCCTAGCATGTGGGAGAGTTGGGGTCTATCCCTTCTACTGCAAGAAAAAAAAAAAAAGAGTTGCTAAGGGAGGCTGTGAAATCTTCCTCTCATTTCTAGCCTGTCTGATTCATTCTGTAGGCAAAAGAATGCTGTTCAGAACCCACGGCAGCCGGCCCATGAT